AAAAAAAAGCAGCATTTAAATATTGTCAAAGCACTGAAGCTAAACTTTGGTTTGCAGAAGGCAGGAATGTTTGTTCCATGTGAATTTTCTTTGGTGTAAATCAAAAAGAACTGTAAGTGAAATCACACTTGTCCATTTCTAAAGATCCCAACAAAGTCCCATATAATTCAGAGTAAAATAAAACCACTATTCACTTACACTACTTTTAAACTGCTTTGCGCTAATCTCCCGCAAACATTAACAGTAATTTGAAAAATGAAGATGTTTTAAACGTGGCTGGAAGCCACTGATGACATACCTTTCCTTTCAACGGGAGAAATTGACACAGCGAGGTGTCAGACGCATCATTTGCCATCAAGGTCTATGATTAGTGTAATTGTACAGCTAACTGCAAGGCAAGAGATTGTGCAAAATGCAACAAATCAATATGCAAATCGGGGTAGTTATCACAGTTGGAAAGTGGTTGAAAATAAAACTTTTCTATTAAAAGACAGTGACCTTAGATATCTGCTGCAATGCAAGATCCAGCTTTTGTACGCTCAGAAAGTGCAAATTTTGTTGTGGAGCTTTCTTACAAAAAGAATGGGCAAGATTTAATCAGGGATCCACACACATGGTCTATTATCCATTATCAATAGTATAGCAATTCATGAAGCTCTCTTTACTCAGATGCCACTTCTAAAATATGCAGCCTTAAGGTGTGGTCACATTAGCGAAATGTTTTGGCTAACACAAATTCCAGATCGCACAGATTCCTATTGACACGACTGCATTTTCCCCATGGAATTTTGCCACATAAATGTAAATGTGACAGCACATTTAAAACAAAGTAGTGGATGTGTCCGAAACCTGAAAAATGCTGATCTGGAGGTATTTGAATCAAATGGTTGCATAACATCCTGTATATGCAGTTCGGCATAAATTTAAAAAACACATTTGGACTGACGGAATGACTAAATTCCAATTTATAATCCCCCCCACATTTTCTACTGCGAAATAAGAACTGTGGTCATTAAATATGACCTTGCTAATCTCTGAATTTGTTCAAGATCATTAGACGTGATGTTACAGTGCCCAGAAAGTCCGACTGAAATGTGTTTCCTGAAAAGGAGTCTGTTGAATGAGTGCGCAGCAAGACAGTTAGGTAGCTGCCTTTGGTTTTGGACACAGACTCTTAAGACAACGTTTACAGGCAATCTAAATCTAAATCCAGCTGTACTTCTAAGGCCAAAACAATAAAAATGGCTAGGCATGACCATTCCTGACTGTCAAAATTATTCTCAAACCTCAAATTAAGACGATGATCTGAACACCTATCTTGAGGTTCACAACAAAAAAGGCAAAGAACTCGAGACGAGACCAGTTTGATCCAGCAGTAACAACGGATTTCAAATGCAGCATATACACATTTTAAAGGTGAACCGAGTGATTTCTACACTACTAGGGCACCAAATGGAATTGCAAAAAATTTCAAATGCTCCCCCACTCTCCTATTGGTCAGTCAGAATGTAGCCCCGCCCCAAACACACACCACTGGTGCTCAGTCATGCTGATCAATCAAATACATTTGCAATTCTACTAGATGCACATTTGCAAGAATGCAAATGGGGGGGGGGGGGGGG